TTTCTAATGTATAAAGCGGACACTACAAAGTGTTGCAATGGAAAAAAGCGGACACTAAAAAGTGTTGTAATAAAAAATCGGACACTACACAATTTTCTAATGAATAAAGCGGACACTACATAATTTTCTAATGAATAAAGCGGACACTACAAAGTGTTGTAATGAAAAAAGCGGACACTAAAAGTGTTCTAATGAAAAAATCGGGCACTACAAAATTTTCTAATCAATAAAGCGGACACTACAAAGTGTTGTAATGAAAAAAGTGGACACTACACAATTTTCTAATCAATAAAGCGGACACTACAAAGTGTTGTAATGAAAAAAGCAGACACTACAAACCACAGTGATATTATGTAATGACTTTCCCAATTGGGAAATATGTGAACATCGTAATTAACATTGACAACACCCTGCTAGCCATTAAGTCTTCTGGCCCAAAAAGCGTGGGAAATAATTCCGCACCCAAATGTGCACTGTGCCTGACATCAGGTGTGTCAGAAAAAAGTGTAATGCTTTACTTAATTAGGAAATGGCCCAATTAGGAAATAGTGCACACATCATCATTAACAATGACCACACCATGCTAGCCATTAACTCTTCTGGCCCAAAAAGCATGGGAAACAGTTCCCAACCTAAATGTGCACTGTGCCTGACATCAGGTCTGTCAGAAAAAAGTGTAACACTTTTCCCAATTAGGAAGTCGCCCAATTCGGAAATAGTGCGCACATCATCATTAAGAATGACCACACCATGCTAGCCATTAATTCTTCTGGCCCAAAAAGCATGGGAAACAGTTCCCAACCTAAATGTGCACTGTGCCTGACATCAGGTTTGTCAGAAAAAAGTGTAACACTTTTCCCAATTAGGAAATGGCCCAATTAGGAAATAGTGCACACATCAATGCATATACTACACATGGGTCAAACCCATTGGTAAATGTCTGTCAACAAACATCCCAATGAGGGTATTCTGCCTACAAAATAATAGGTAAATCCCCTATCCCCTATATTAAAAAAATCCCAAGTTTTTCTTTTAAATATAGGACCCCAGACACCCCTTGTGGCTGAAAATATATATCCTTAGTCAACCCTAGCTGCAAAATATATCCCAAGTCCATCCCAGACAAGAAATATATTTCTACATTGTGACAGTCACAATTCAGGGTCCAGGCATAAGAAATATATTTGGAGTCCATTCCAGTGAGGAAATATATTTTGGGGTGTGTGACACACTAGAAATATATTTAGTGTGACATTGGACAACAAAATATATTTAGGTAAAAGTGGAAATATACAAGCCCAGAATATATACAATATAGATATACACCCTGACATTTAGTCCCGTAGTATTCATGGAGTTTGCAAGACTAATAGTCAGTTGTCAGTGGGTGACTGAAGTGGGCATGACATTGAAGGGTTTGCATTCTTTGACATCTCACTGTAGGCTATATATCTGATCTTCATGATCAATTGTCAGTATGTAACCCTTTCCCATAGTCGGTCTTGACTATCATTCTCTGCTTGCCTGTCCTCTCCTGTGGTCAGCCTCAACTGTACTAAGACTGAAGGATGGAGGGCTGTTTGTTCAAAGTCAACCATATACCATGTACCTAGATAAAGCCAAGAACATTACAAAATATCAGAAAAGCAGAGACTGCAAATTTTGTAGTCTTTAAAAGCTGACACTAGACTTTTCCATCAGAAAGAGCAAAGACTACAAACTTTTCTAATAGAAAAAGCGGAGACTACAAAACCTTTCTAGTAAAAAAAACAGAAACTACACACTTTTCTAATAGAAAAAGCGCAGACTACAAACTTTTCTAAAGAAAAAAGCAGAGACTATAAAATTTGTAGTGTTAGAAAGCAGAGACTACAAAGTTTTCTGACAGAAAAAAGAGGAGACTACAATTTTTTTGTAGTCTTGCTTGTGTGGAAGCTATTGGTAAATATATGTAAACAAACTCCGAAATGAGCATCTGCAGTTCATTTTGAGTTTTTCTGTCTTCCCTAGTATAATATAACACACACTAGATATATATTATAGTTATTGTAATGTTTAAGTATGCATTCCAGAGATTCCCTCATGAAAAACGAGATGGATGGAGAATGGATGATGATTTGTTATTACAAGTGGTTTTCAACACAGACAAATAAGAGGCTACAGCCGAAAGTCCAGGCATGATGGTCTTTCACGTGCGCTTCTCAATGTTATGCCAATGTCACAACATGTGACGTGGCTTCTCTCTTCAACCCACGACCACGACCACACGCCAAATACAAACCACGACGCCAACCAGATGCCAATTACCACCATCAGCAAACATACCAACCACACCGCCAGCCACTACCATGAACAAATGCCCAGCACCACCGTTGGACGGAAACGATGGCCCACCACCCCGTCAATGAATGCCCATCACTGCTGTCAACAAACGGCGACAATCGCCCACGACCCATCACCAACGAACGGCGCGAGGCCTATGAACGGATGCAGGCGACAACGAGCCGAGGTGAGCAACTCACCTCAACCTCACCCACTCACATCTGTAACACAGAAGCCAGGTGCCACGTCACCGACAGTGACGTGGCAACCAAACGACAAACGATGAATTTCAATTCGTCGTTTGTCATACCTGTTTGTTCTAGAACACCATGGTAAGCACCCCCATCCTACCTTCTTCCCAACCCACCTCGCTGAGAGACAGGACACGGGACGACGACAGACGTGGAATGACAATGCAACCAGTACACGCAACACCGACGTGACGACAATGCACACCACACGCGGCACCACGACCCATGGATGGCAACAAGGTTCACCACTATGCACCCAGCCTGGACACAGCACCGGACAACATGGAATGCACCCAGGACATGCAACGCCAACATGACCTTCCTTTCAACATCCCTTCCTTCCCTTTAACATCCCCCATCCCTTCTACCTCCCTATTCCCTTTGAAACACTTATGGTAAATAAGTTTTATGTAGCTATCAAATACACACCAAATTGATTTGGTCAGAGTGGACTGTTGTAAGGAACTCACAGGAATAAGTTGTCATCTGGCACAGCTGAACTAACTTAGCAGAAATCCTGCAAAGCTATGGTATGACCATGGTATGGTATGACTGGTATGGTATGGTATGATATGATTGGTATGGCATGGTATGACCATGGTATGGTATGACAGGTATGGTATGGTATGACTGGTATGGCGTGGTATGACCATGGTATGGTATGATGGTATGGCATGGTATGACTGGTATGGTATGGTATGTATGGTATGCTGTGGATACCATAACATATGGTATTAGTGTTCTTGCATTTTTTAGCTGATTCTCTTTTGTTTGGTCTATATAGAGCACAATTATTGACTAGAGGTTGACTTTGTCAACAAACACCTCACTTCTGTATTTTAAATACATTAGTAAGGGTTCTTAGTACACCCTCAGCTTCACCCAACAAAAAACTTACAAAATGCATTAATTGAAATTGTTCTACATTTTGGCTGTTCCCATCACCCACTGTTTATCTTAAGTTATCAGAATCTTTTCCTTTTATTTTTTTGTTCTTTCATAGCTTGTCAAAGGGCCACTGCTTGTCACCTGGCAACTCCTCGCAGGGGTGGGGGGTAGGGTGTTTAGCCCATGTTTGCAGAAGAGTGGAGTGTTTGGTCCAATATGAACAATATGACCTCCAGAATGTCTTATTATTTGTGCCATGTTTGCGGAAGAGTGAGATGTTTGTTCCAATCTTGAAAAATATGACATCCAGGAAGCCGTATTATTTGCGCCATGTTTGCAGAAGAGTGATATGTTTGGTCTCAACATTTGCTTAGAAATATGAAGCTGAGAGACCTAGCTAAAGTGAGGAGATTGGATTTTATGTTCTTGAAGTCTCCAGATTGATAGGAAGTAGATCTAAATTATTGGAAGAAGACCTTGAAAATGTATCAAGTTTTCATTGAGCCATTCATGCTTAGCTGATGGCCAAGTCGCACACCAAATTGCATGCTCTTAAAATTAATTGTATGTGGAGTGGTACTTAATGTAGTTGATTATCAAAGTGCATATTCTAGTCCAACCTGTTGGATAATAATCTAGCTCAAGTCCATGTGTTTGAAATGGATGGTATAATGTAGTGTTCAGGACTGATAGATAATACACACAATTTCTTATTTTCTTTGCTTCTCAAATACCACATCACCACAATGGATGCAGTATTATGCATGCCAAAATCTGGGATCAAGCTCAATTGAACTGATTTTCAAAGGATTAAGTTTACTATATTGCCTCCTTTTGTAGCTTAATATCTCAGCAAAAACCTGAAGAACCCTGCCACAAAAAATGGCACCCAATGGACCAGTATTGCAGCCTGCAGAAATAATTTATATATTTTGAAAAAGGACCCCAGACACCCTTTGTCAGCTTTGGTATGATGGTATGGTATGGTATGAGATCATTTGGTATGGTATGAGATGACATGGTATGGTATGGTAACATGGTATTGGTATGAGTGGGATATGGTATGGGTTTTCCATTCCATGGTACCATGGTATTGGTATCAAGCTCATATACCACCCCGGAATGGGTACCCTCAAGGTACCCTAAATCAAGGAATTGATGTACCTCATAGGTACCCTAAAATGGGTGACTGAAGTGGCTTGAGCTCAAGAAATTCGTGACCTATCTCAATGCCTGAAGGAATGGCTGATGATTGTCTTACCCAATATTCTGTGCATCTGCACTTTGAGCTTGAGGATGGTGATGGGAGTTTATTGACCAATTTCTCAACCAGATAATTGGCTTTGGTATGACACCTGAGGTTATAACAGAATTGATTTGGCATGAACCTTGTGGGATGGATGGATTTTTTTGTTGCATTGAAGGACACCGATGTAAATAGAACTCAGGGCCCACCTAAAATGGAAATAGATACCTAATTAGGATGGGAGGGGAGGGGGGGGACAGTCAAATTTGACCTTAAATGAAAAATACAATGTCATGTACTAAACAAATTTTTTACATACCCCTTGGGCTGAATCAAATTATATTTGACTACTTTAAACAGTACATGTGGTAGGATTAGAACCTGAGTATAGTACAAGGGGGGGGAACAATAAAAAGCCCTCTGCAACATGTCAAGTCCATTCAAATGCTCCAACAACACATCAACACCCTCGAGTGGCCCATTACCAGATCCAACTTCCATCGAATTCTCTGCACCTGAGCCTGAGTCGTTGCCACCCCAATTTGCACAGGAAATGGGGGGGTGAAGAGAGGTTTTTGATGAATGTGCCACCTGAGTTTGAGCAGGAGGCATTGTTGGATTAGGAGCTGCGGCCGCCACATTTTGGTGGTGGTGATGGTGGGACCTGCAGCTAAAGAGCATCGTCAGTAAACCTGATGCCAGCTTAACTCTTTGTTGAGTCCCTGTCATGTTTTCATGTAATGGATGGAAGTCAGAA